GGGGTAAAAATTATCAAAGTATATTAATTGCATGTACTAATCTGTCAAAATAAAACTCATTAATGTGTGTATGACCAGTAAAAGATGAGATTTTTTTAAAAAAAGAATCCAAATAACTTGGTGGTGGTGGTGGTGCTGCTGCTGCTGCTAGTGGTGATTATCATGTTTTGGTAGATTGGTTCAGTTCCCTTCAGAAGAATGTACTTCTAATAATAAAGCAGAGGAATAGCTCTAGGTTTAGGAATCAAGTAATTTAAATAGAGGTCATTCCATCTTTGATAGAATGTATATATTTGAAGATTCTTACAAGTTGTCTTATCTTTTTTGTTAAAAGGAGAACTCTTTTCAGAGGTCGAAGACGAAGAGAAGATGAAAGGATCCCAGTAAGTATTTTTAACCTTTAATTATTTCTTAGATTTTTGATTTTGTTTTTGTCTGTTTAGATTTACTGATTGACTTGTGTGTGATCTTTTCTGAGCTTTAATCCCAACATTGTGGGACGCTGAAGTGGGAAGATCAAGCTCAGCCCAAGCAATTCAGTGATTTAACAACAGTCTCTCTCTACATAAAAGAGATTAAAGGGCTGGAGATGTAGCATATTGTGCAAGTCCTGTGCTCTCTCATCAAAACGACTTGGGAGGGGGAGGGGAGAGGAGAAGGGAAGGGAGAGGAGAGGAGGAGAGGGAGGGAGAGAGAGAGAACATTCATGTTTTAAAGATGAACATGAAAAGCTCAATTATTACATTATTGATGGACATTAAATAATTTCATTCTTTGTGCTTACAAACTACTATCACAAAATAATACAGTGATAACGTAACTATCGTTTGCCATATGTGTGTTTATATCTGAAAGAATCCCTTGGATATAGGATTTCTGAATCATAGTTCAGTAATCAATGCCAACTAGTCATCTATAAGGGTTGTGTCAGTTGTTATTCCCATAAACAATAGGCCAAAGTTGCCATTTATCTGTGGCTTTAGAATATATGTTGCTTTATTTTTTCCAGTGGGAAAGGGTATATATAATTTCTCCTATTCTCTTCCCCAATACTGGTATTTTAGTACAGAGCCTTTACACTGAGCTACATCATTAGCAAATCCTGACTTTATTTTGTTGTTGTTGTTATAGTTGTTTGTTTTGGGGTTGTTGTGGTTATTACTATTATTTGGGGGGTTTTGTATGTGTTTTCAGAGGGTCTCACTAAATTGTTTAACTGCCTATTGGTGATTCTTACATCTCCTAGTCTTAGAAAACATTTTCTAGATTTCCAAAATGTTATATTTGAATGTCGTTTCCTAATTTCAAATCATTAATGTTTTTGTTCTGCATAGTTTGTTTATAGTAGACGGTTGCCATTTCCTAAGTAGAAGCAAAACCAGTTGAGAAAAACAATGTGAGAATAAATGAGGTTCTGATGAACCCCCTATAAATGTGTGCTGTCATGCTGGTTATAAAAAGAAAAACACATATCCACTAAGACAACAATATGCAATGTATTAATTATTGAAACTGTGCTAATAATTGGTTTTGAAACTCTCATTGCTATTTGTTTCTCAATAAAATTACTTTAAAAAAATAAAACCACTTTCACATAAGAAAATATATTGTATTATAGCACAAGAGTAATCTTTAATCTTTAAAACAATGTTGTTTTTCCTTTATAACTTTACTATGGGGCTGGTGAGATGGCTCAGTGGTCTAAAGCACCTACTTAGAACAAACTTAGCAAAGCAAAGGGACCACGGTTCAATCCCCCAGCACCACATGCCAGCCAGGGCCGCCCCCTGGTGGGCTGAGCTGGCCACACACACACACACACA